TCAGGCCAGGCACTCTCCTCCGGGCCCCTAATCCCCTCCTCTATCAAGTGAGGGGCAGTGCAAGGGCTTCTGTTGAGATCTCCAAGTGGGGATCTAACCCAGCCTTTTACTCAGATGTCACATGCAGTCACTTAACAGCCCTATGGGGAGAGATCATTAACGTTCTCATTTACCAGCTTAGGGACTTTCACGGGGTCATCTGCTGTCACATACCCAGGAAAGCACAGAATATTTATACAAGGTCACATCCCCAGGGCCTGAGAATAGCAGTTGGAACTCGGAGATTCATGCTTCTTTCTTTTTCTGTCTCTTCTTTTTCTTTTTCTTCTTTTTTGACAAGGTTTTCTTACGTAGTTCAATCTGCCTTTGAATTCACTATGTAGCCCAGGCCGGCCTCAAACTGGCGGTGATCCACCTGCCTCAGCCTCCTAGGTACTGAAATTACAAGCATGCACCACCACACCCAATGGAAGCTCACATTCCTAATAAGAATAAAATGTGGTAGATTTTTATAAAGTACCTGGTGTACAATAAGCACATGACCAATTAAATGTCAGTCTCTCTCTAGAACATCTCTTCCCTTTTCTCTCCCTTCTCTTCCTCTGGCTGCTCATGTTTTAACACGCGCCAGCACTTTAGAAGCACCCCTTGGGAGGGGTCCCTGACGCCCAGCGAGCCTGGGTACTGGCCAGAACTGCCTCTCAGAAAGTCAAAGCAGCCTCTTAAGGAAATGCAAATCAAAAGTAGGGAGATATCATCTCACCCAGGTCAGGACTATGATGAAAAAGACTAAAGGTAAGGGCTGGCAAGGGGGTGAGAAAGGGATCCTCACCCACTGCTGCCAGGAAGCAGCAGGTGGGGCCTGCCCCCAAAATCATCAACGGGACTGCATGGGAAACAGCAGCCGTCCCTGGGCAACTCGGAGGGAGGGAGAGTGGCAAGTGGGGGAGGCATCTGCTCGCTTGATACGGTTTGATGTGAAGGTCTCCAGTGGCGCCCAAGATGGCACAAGGGAAGATAGTGATGCCCGCAGGAGGCAGGGCCCACTGGGCGGCTCCCAGGGCATAGGGCCAGCCCCGGAAGTGCCCTGAGGTCCCGCCCTTCCGCTTCGGCTCCCAGGCTCTGGTTCACAGAATCAGCCTCCGTGCGCGTGCGCTCAGGTCCTCTCTTACAGTTCCGGGAGAGCTGACTATGACAGCTTTGGAACGTGGTTATTCGGCCCATCACCCTAGGAATGTCACCCTGTGGCCCACATTTGTGGCTTTATTGCTGGGCAGGCAAAATTTCTTTAAAAAGACAGCACTCATACTAGAAGGAAAACATGGTAAGTGAAAATTCATCAAAATCAAAAACTTTTCAACAAATGAAGCTAGGAAAAGTGGAAAGCCGCATGCCAAAAATGAATTTAAACCCCTAACTCATACCAGGTACCCCAAAATAAATAAGCAACTAATTAAAAATGAAGAATTTGACTTTGTGAAAACTTAATAAATATTTTTGTGTGTCAAAGCATGCTGTTCACAAAGCACAAAGATGATCTACAGGATAGGCGAAATTATTTATAAATCATACATCCGAAAAGGATCTAGTACCTAGAGAATATAAGCCACTTTTATAACTCAACCTAAAGAGACAAAGTTGGACATCATTGCCCACACCTGTAGTCACAGCCCTCCGAAAGGCCAAGGCAGGTCGACCATAAGTTTGACCCTGACCTAGGCAGCTTGGTGATTTGGCAAGATGCTGTTTCAAGCTTTAAAAATTTTTAATGGGAATGGGGATGTGCAAAGAACCCAGGGTTCAATCTCTAGTACTGCACACACAAAAGAACAATTAAAAAATAATCGAAGGAACTGACTATACATTTTCCCAAAGACAGAAACACACATGAAAACATGCTTAGCATCATGAGTCATGAGAGAAATGCATATCCAAACCACCATGAGATACTGCTCCCCATTCACTAGGTGACGGGAATCAGACACCAAGAAGGAGAATAACTGGGTCAAACTGAGTCTCTAGAATTTTAGTTTTTGAGACGTTACCACACTGATTTCCAGTGTCTCACCAGTCTATACTCCCACCAACAGTGGAAAAGGGTTTCTTTTTCCCCACAGTGCCTCCAGCATTTGTTATTGGTTGATTTTTTTTGTCTTTTTCCTTTTTATCGGTACCGGGGATCAAACTCACGACTGCCTGCTTGCAAGGCAGGCGGTGATGCTGCTGAGCTAAATCCCCAGCCCCCTGGGTTGATTTCTTGATAGTAGCCATTTTTTCTGGAGTAAGATGGAATCTCAGTGTTGCTTTAATTTGTATCTCTTAAATGACCAGTGAGGTTGAACATTTTTTCATACACTTATTTGTACTTCATCATCTGAGAAGTGTCTTCATTTCAGACGTCCACTCTTGGATTGAGTCTATAAATTTGGGTGGGTGGGGGGTCACCTGGAACCAGAAGAGACCTAGAATAGCAAAGGCAATCCTGAACAACTAAGACAAGACAGGGAACATCACAATCCCTGACTTGAAATTATATAATAAATCTGCTGTGATAAAAAAAACAGCATGGTACTGGCCAAAAAAACCCCAGAATGGAACAGATTACAGATTAGAAGATGCAGAAACAACTGCAGACACACTCAGCCATCTTATCTTTGACAAAGGTACCAAACACATTCACTGGAAGAAGGACAACCTCTTTAACAAATAGTGCTGGAAAAACTGGCTCTACAGGGCCAGAGATTTAGCTCAGCAGGCGTAAGTGTCTACCTGGGAAACACGAGGTCATGAGTTCAATCCCCAGTATACAAAAAAAAAAGTTGGTTCTACACATGCTGAAAATTAAAACTGGACCTGTATCTTTCACCATGCACTAAGCTAAAATCAGAATGGATCAAAGATCTTAATATTAAAACAAGCATTCAATCTGCTGGAAGATAGAGTAGGTAAAAGTCTTGAAGACATTGATGAAGGCAAAGACTATGATCAAAACCCACGTTGTACAGGAACTATCACAAAGAATCAATAACTGGGATCTCACCCTACTGAAAAGCTTTTGCACAGCAAGAGAAACCACCAACAGAGTGAAGAGATAACCCACAATGTCAGAGAAAATGTATGCCAGCAGTTCCCCAAAGGATTACAGAGAACATAAAAAAGCTGAAAAAAATAAGCCCTCCCAGATTTAAAGACCCAACCCAAAAATGGGCATCTGAGATGAACACACACTTCTCAGATGAAGAAATACAAGCAGCAAATAAATATGTGAAGAAGTGTTCAGCCTCACTGGCCATTCGAGAGATGCAAATTAGAACAACACTGAGATTCCAGCTCACCTGAGAAAGAATGGCTACCAACAAGAAATAAATCAGTAACAAATGCTGGAGGGAACGTGGGGAAAAAGGAACCCTCCTCCACGGTTGGTGGGAGTGCACACTGGTGCCACCTCTGTGGAAAGCAGTGAGGAGAGCTCTCAAAAACTAGGAGTAGAGGTCCCATTCAACCCAGTTATTCCCCTTCTGGGTATCTTCCTAAAAGAATTAGAAACATCATACTACAGTGATGCATGTGCACCCATGTTTATAGCAGCACAGTTTATAATATACAGATCAACCTAAATGCTCAACCACTGAGGACTGGATAAAAAAGATGTGGTCTTTTTTTTTTTTTAGACTAGTCAAGTGCAGTAGTGAGAAGGGGGGAAAGAGCAGAACAAGTTCAATCAGATGTGGTCTTTTTATACAGTGGACTACCACTCGGCCATAAAGGATAAAGTGGAGACTTTTATAGGTAACTGGAGAACATACTCATTAGTGAAATAAATAAGACACACACGTGTAAACATATTCTTTCATTAATGTGAGAAGTTGAAAGAAAAAAATGTATGTATGTATATGTATAAAACTAATTAAGATAGTTATCCTACTGATTTCTCTGAGTTCACTGAAGAGAAAGATTTGTGCTGGTGTTGTTTGGACAATTGAATGTAGATGACTTGTGCTCTGCGTGGATGAATTGGGGGTGACAATGTACAATGTATGTACCATTGTTGCCCCCTAATTTGCATGTTTTGACATGTTTGTAAGGGGTTTTTTTTCTTACTTTTGAAATTTGTTTTTTTCATGCGTGGGTTTTTTGTACTGGGAATCAAACTCATGACCTCATACTTGCCAGGCAGGCACTTGTGCTGCTGAGCTAAACCCCTGGCCTTTTTTTCCCCTTACTTTTTATCCTTTAAATGAAATGGATTTGGGAAAAAAAATCAACAAATATTGGATTGTTAGCCAGACATAGAGGCACATGTCTGTAATCTCAACACTCAGAAGGCTGAGGCATGTCAGTTGCTGTGAGTTTAAGGCCAGCCTGGACTACGTAGTGAGTCCAAGCCAACCTGAGCTACATAACAAAACATGATATAGATATAGATGTGGACATGGATATGGATATAGATATATAGGTTGTTTCTCTGGTGTGAGAAACTGAAAGGGTAAATAAGGACCAAAATATATTATAGATATTGGGAGATAGGAAGCAGTTGTTTAAATGGGAAGGGGAACAAGGGAGGGGGCCAGGAGAAAAGAAGGAAAAAAGAGGAGAATAGAAGGAAAAAATGGAAACCAAGCTTTGTGAATAAGGAGAGGGAGAGGGGTTGAGGTAGAGCGGGGATTGGGGAAAGGAAGAAGCAAGGGGTGTCACATACAGCTTCAGATTCCCTGCGATGAATGTTATCATTATGTACATCTAAAATGTGATAAAATTAATTTAAAACAACAACAAAAACAGAAAACAAGCCAGATTGCAGAAAAAGTGGAACCTTCACACACCCCTGGTAGGTGTGCTAAACGATTCAAGGCTGGGAAAACAGTTGTCAATTTCTTTAAAATTTTATCATACAACCTGGTATTCTATTCCTAGGCATTTATCCAAGGGAATGAAACCCCCATGTTCACAAAAAGTCTTTCACAAAAAGTACATGTTGTAGTGTAACGATTACAATACAGGAATGTTTACAGCAACTTTATTCAAAATAATTATGATCTGGAAACAAATGTCTATCAGCACATGAATAGGTAAGATGTGATATAATAAATTTTTAAAATGATGCAGTGTATTTATATAACAAGTACTACTCAGCAGTAAAAAGAAACAAATTACCATACTAGGATGCAGTGGTGTGGGTCTATAATCTCAGCACTAGGGAGGCTGAGACAGGAGGCTCCCTAGCTCAAGGCCATAGAATCCGTCTCTGTCCTGGGATATAGCACAAAGGCACAAGTGCCTGCCTGGCAAGTGCAAGGTCCTGAGTTTGATACCTGGTACCAAAAAAAAAAGAACCTGTCTCAAAAGATAATAACAAGAAAATTGGACAGAAAGAAAGGAACAGGCTGCTGACACAAGGCCATGACACAGACAAATCTCAAAAACATGTTATCGAGGGAAAGAAGTCAGAAGAGGTCCAGAGTACGGTTCAATGATTCATCTGTAATGAAGAAAATCAGGTGAAAAGTCACCTTAGGAGAGTGAGGGGTGGACTGGGAAAGATGTGAGGGAACCTTCTGGAATCAGAGAAATGTCGTCTCCTGATGCCAGTGAGGTCTGCACGTGAAGGCAGTTGCCCTCCGTATCCTCTGTATACCACTGGCCAGCCTGGTACCTTTCAGAGCAGTGAATTCTGCAAAGGACAGAGCTTCCCCTGTAGCCCAGCCACCCCGGCAGGATCAGGCCCTCTTCGGCCTGCGGTGATGTCCCCAGAGCAGTCGGCGTCCTGGCCTCGACCTCAAGGTCTGAGATCGGCAGAGGAGGCCCCAACCCTGAAGGCTGAGGGGGAGCGAGGAGCAGCGGAGGCCCAGGCCCGCTGTTTCCCTGAGGAAGCTGGCCTGCATGGGAGGGGACAGAGAGAGAACAGGGAAGGGACAGGGAGGGAGGATGAGACAAAAGGCCAGTTCCATCTCTAGCGTCTTCCTGCTTTTCAAAGGCCTGTGGACCTGAAGGGCAAGCAGCTTGCTTGGGCCTGGCTTGAAGAGCAGATTTCCCTGATGCTGCTGGAGGGAGCAGGCCTCGGGAGGGGCCGGCTTTCAGCAGAGCGCAGCAGCCAGCCATTTGCCATTGTGCTGGTGGCCTTCAGCCCACCACACTCAGAAGTGGGCAGAAACAAAGGCCCGCAGCCCTAGACTCCGGGACACAGATGTTCAGACCCTAATGATGGCCAGGGCCTGGTAATGGCATGGAACGGCCCTGGGGTGAAGGGAGGGAGGAGGGAGGCTGCCACGGGCAGGGGACTGTCCCCCACAGCCGCTGTCCCCCACGGCTGGCCTCCATGCTGCCCACCGTCTGCAGTGAGGCCTACAGATGCCAAGGCTGGCCCTCAGATAGAGCGGGTTAGGGATTCCTTGAGAGCTAGGGTCTGCAAGGCATCAACAAGGCACGTCACATGAAGAACAGAGTCTGGCATGTTTGGCATTGTTCAAAGAAGGAAGAACGCATGAGCAAAGACAAAAGCAGTGTTACATAACAAAAGAAGGATGCAGAGAGCCGGAGGGGTAACACAGCAGTGTACAGCACTCACCTGCATTCGCTGGGCCTTGGGTTCAATCCCTGAGAAGAGACAGAGACAGAAGAGAACTGAGTTCTAACACTACTGATAAGAAAACAGCTGCATTAAGTTACTGAGAAAAACAAATCTTTTCCATGCTGGGGCTTGAAACCCACTACTCAGCTACATCCCCAACCCTGTTTCCATTTTTTATTTTGAGACAAGGTCTTACTAAGTCACTAAGTTGCCCAGGCTTGATCTAAATTTGTGATCCGCCTGCCTCAGCCTCCCAGAGTGCTGGAATTACAGGTGTGGGGCACCATCCCACCACACCTGCTGCCCAACGAATTTTTAAAAACAGTAATGTGGAGATAAACCCCTCGTCCATATTATCCTGAAGCTGCTGGTTTTGAGGGTACTATAGCAACCGTAACCAAAACAGTGATGATGGGGAGTATTCCATCTGAGTACTCAATCCCCTTTATTCTTTTTTCTTTTGAATGAAGGATGGGGAGAGAGCCTAAGGCACGCTACCCCCGATACATCTCCAGCCCTTTTTTATTTCTTGTTCTAAGGCATAGTCTCACCACATTGCCCAGGCAGGACTCAGAAATCCGATCCTCCTGCTTCAGCCTCCCAAAGTGCTAGAATTGCAGGTGTACACCACCACAGCCAGCTGCTAGTCATAACTTCTAAATGCTGAATATGATTCCATTGTAGATACATTCTATAGCTTTCCAACCAATCACCCACTGCAACCATGTATGTGTTTACTCCTCATGTATTCAAGAATTATGAATCGAGGACCTACCACACAATCAGAGCAGTTGCCAAGTGCCAAGAACACGCGCGGAAACCAGACATTTTGTATTTTGTGTCCCTGTGGAAGAGGCAGACATTTAAGAAAGTAAACAACCAATAAATGCATAATTACAAACTGTGATAAGTACCATGGGGGGCCTCCTATGAACCCCAAATGGTGCAACATTGGAAAATTATCTGAATTATGATAATAATAATAAACATTGCAGGGAATGAAACAAGCAATTAGAAGCTGCAGGAAGAGGGAGAGAGACAGCAAGCTTTGTAAAAAAGGAAATGTAACCAGAGCAGATTTGTTGTAAACAATATTTACATAGTCCTAGAGCGCCAAAGAAACCACAAGATGTTTAAAACGGATAAATAAAAAAAAAATCGCAGCACTTTCAAGTTATTTAGAAAACTGAGTTAAATACAAGGCTCGCTCACCTCCGCGAGGGCTGGGGGTGGGGCAGGGACAGCTGTCGTTCATGTATTTATTCATTCGATCCACATGTATTTACTGAGACTGTTCCCAGGCCTTGTCCTGGGACAAGGAACACAGAAGTCAACGAAACAGCCCAAAACTGCAGTCTAGACTCTAGAAGGGCAGACAGCGGGGAAGAGAATTAGAATCACACGATTTTACAGAGCAACGACAGGGCAGGAAGTAAGAATGGGGTTGAAGGAGGGCCATGATGTCAGTCAGACCGGAACTGGAGGCGCCGCGCCGGAAGTGACGTAAGAGAAACCGGAAGGAGCCCAGGAGGGGCTCGGTGATGGGCCCAGAGTCCGTGAGGCCCGGATGAGGTCTGCCTGGGCGCTTCACCCTCCCGGGCGCGTCTGAGCAGGCCTCTGCGGCTGGGCTTCTGCTACTGCAGCGCTGCGGCTCCCGGCTGCAAAACCTAATCAGCAGCCACCAGTGTAAACACGGCTCTACCTGTGGAAGCTTTGTTCCTGGGCTCGTTTCTCTTTCCCTGGAAGGGGCCAGGACCAGAACAGCTCAGGCCAGTTAGTTCAGCAGGCACTTCTGGGGGGTCCCAGGAGCAGAGCCAGGACCCTCACCTGGGGCTATGACAGCAGCTATCCTGACCTGTCCGCTTCTCACCATCGAGCACCGATGCAGTCAGAACCCACTCCAAGCCAGGCTCCATGGCAAGCGCCAGTGATCCCAGCACTCAGGAGGCTGACACAGGAGGATCGCCATGAATTCGAGGCCAGCCTGGGCTGCACCGTGAGATCCTGTCTCAAAAAAAAACAAAAATACTCCTAGCAAAAGGCAATGTCTCTGATGACCAACAGAGGGCTGTGGGACCTTGTACCCCTGCCCCTGCAGAAGCTGCTTCCACATGAAGTAGAATCTTGGCACATCCTGTCTCTTGCTAGTCTCCACCTCTAACCTCCTCAGGGTTTCCATTCAAGATTAACCTCATCAGAGATTTCCCTGACCTCTACGCAAGCTAACACGCCAGCCCCCCGCGCCTTCCCCTCTTCCTAGCACTCACTGCTACTCTAACCTTACGCTGATTTGTTTTTGTCTGCTCCCCTCACCGTCACCAAGCTGTGTTTCACACCAGCAGGGCCCGTATGGGACCCGAGTTTGGGCCCTTTGCGGACAGAAAGGCATGAATCCTCCCCAAGCCCCACTGCAGGGAATAAAAACTGGGTTCCTAAATGAAGCTTTTGATCTTTTCCAGGGTTGTGGTTAGGATCTGGAATATCCTTAGGCTCGTATGTTGGCAGCTTGGTCCCCATGCAGTCATGTCCTTGGAGAGGGCTTTGGGAGGTGGCTCCTTCCTCCTCAGTGGACCAACCCATTGGCGGATTCATAACCTGAAGGCCTTGCCGGAGCTGATGAGACAGGAGGCAAGACCCAGTTGGAGGTAGTGAGGTCCTGGGGACACGAGCTTGTAGACTATGTCTTGTCCTTGGCCCCTTCCTCTCTGTCTCTCTGTCTCTGTCTCTCTCGCTCTCCTTTTTGACTGTCATAAGGTGAGCAGCTCCATACACTGCACCCTTCCCATGCTGCTCTGCCTCACCACAGGTCCAGAAATGATGGCCCAGAAGACCATTCAGTAATCTTCTGAAACCATGGGACAAGAAAACTTTTCCTCCTCTAAGGTTTCTTTCTCAGGTATTTTGTCACAGTGGTGGAAAGCTGTCTAGACTCAGGACTGAGCTGTCCCTTGTGTACCTGGAGGTCAATGAGCCAGGACAGGTCTCTGCGAGGGCAGGAAGCTGTCCTGTCACTGTGAGTCACAGAGAGCCGTGGGAAGGCTCAGTCTTTGAGAACAGTGGGAGAGAGGTTGTGTTCTTCACAGCAGAGCCAGAAGAGATGTTCCAACCCCTGTTCTGGGATCCCACACTTGAAGGAGAGAGAAACGAGATTGATTCTTGTCATCATGAAAGTCCCAAGCTAGGTGGTTCCCTGGCCTCCAAAGGAACCTTTGCTTTGCTCAGAGGCCCCATTAGAGCTTGATTAGAGGCTGGCTCAAGCCCGGCAGAGGACAGCTCTGCCCTCTGGTGGCAGGTCTGAGAAGTGCCAGCACAGGAGTGCTTAGAGAAAACAGGAAAAGGTTTTTAATTCTACCTAACTCCCTTATAGACATCTTGGACAACATAACATAATGAAATAAAAAATAGCCCCATCCCCTTAATAATCCAGATGTAACTGGGCCTTGTGGCGCATCTCACTACTTGGGTGGCTGAGGCAAGAGGATCCTAACTTCAAACCTGGCATCTTAGTGACTCAGCAAAATCCTGTCTCGAAATATAAATAAAAGAATTTAAAAACGAGCTGGCATGGTGGAGCATGCCTTTAATCCTAGCACTCGGGAGGCTGAGGCAGGAGGATTGCCATGATTTCAAGGTCAGCCTGGACTACACAGAGTTCAAGGGCGGTCTGAACTACATTTGGAGACCCTATCTTAAAAAAAAAAAGATTGGGGAGTTAGCTCATTATGAAAGCACTGGGTTCAATCCCCAGTACTGCAAATAGCAACACTAATAATGAATTATTGCTGTTCCCAGCATCATCACTATCACCCTGATGCAAGGGAAGCTTCCGGGCTGTTTTCTGCCCAGTTCCTTAGCTCTGTGAAGTGTCTGCAGAGCTCCTGCGGCCTCCCAGGCACCAGTAGGAACAGAACAAAAATCGCAGTTTCTGCAGCTCACCTCTCACTGTGCTCATTCACTATTCTTGTGCCCACATCTTCATACTGCAGCCTCTGTCACTGGAAAAACTCTTACGATAGCCCGCAGCCCCCTGAGCGAACGCACCTCCCCGGCCCAGCTTCCAGGATGCTCTGGAAGTCACAGAGCCAAACCTGGAATTCACTCAGCGGCTGCACCCTGCCGGGTGTCAGAGTTGGGGCTGGGGAAAGAGCAGCAAAAGCTCAGGCAGAGCCCTGTGTTCTTCCACGACACTGTGGGGTGGAGGTGACACAGTCACAGAAATATTCCCATCCCAGGTCTGGGCATCAAGGCGTCAAAAGGAGCCCCAACTTTACCTAAGTGTCCGCGTCCCTGATGAAGTCTGCATGAGCTAAGAAGCAGAGGGTGACATTGGGAGAGGCGGTCAGACAGCCAGGCGGGGACACCTGGGGCCCAGATGGCTGAGGAGGAGCAGCAGCGGGCAGGAGGAGCCAGCCTGGGTGTGGCGGGCTGCGGCCTGAAGGCAGATGCCGTGGACCCTGCGCCTTAAGCATGAATAGACTTTTTAGAAAGGTTTCTGGGTAACAAACATCACCAGTCAGAAGACCCTGGAAGAAAAGAGTCCAGTCAGATACACAAAACAAAAAGCAACTGTGGAGACATTCACTTATCATGAAATATATAACGCCTCTCCAAAGACAAGGACAGAAAAAAAGGCTTGAATAATGGAAAGATCCTCGGACAAAAGATAGTGTTGTGGAAATGCTGGTTTCCTGGTCTGCATACACATAGGTATGTATCAGAGGGTCCTTCCTTCTCCCTGATTGCACACCTGATGGTGGGACTAAAGGGTCTGAAATTACCTATCTTGTTCCATGTACCAACCCCACGAGACTGATACAGGAAGACTAAAGTTCAGCTGGAAACTTTGTAAGTGAAAATAACCTTTTAGGGATCTAAGAGAACCTTACCCAGGAATAAACATATAAAGCTAGCAAATAAAGCAACCTGGCATATATTCAAGATCACAATTGTGATCCACAGAACACAATCACTAGACCAGAAGTAGATGGAATACATGTGAAAACTCAGAATATGAAAAAAGTGGCACTAATTCCATGGAGGAAATGGATGTGGTTAATTATTTTGGGAAACGGCACCCGCTTAGAAAACAATTAAATGTAGTATTTTCTTCTTCGCATCGAAATAGATTGCAGTTAGGTCAAGAATGTTAACGTAGGGGCTGGGGATTTAGCTCAGCAGCATAAGCGCCTGCCTTGAAAGCAGGCAGTCGTGAGTTCGATCCTTGGTACCGATAAAATAGAAAAAGCCCAAAAAAAAAAAAAAAAAAAAAAAAAAGAATGTTAACGTAAAAATTGGAACCATAAAACATGTGCAAAAAAAGTGTGGTTCAAAACATGGACAGCCAGAATGAGTAGACACTTCTCAAAAGAACCAATCACCAGTAAATACGTGAAGAAATCTTCAACATCACTGGCCTTTAGAGAAATGCAGTTGAAAACTACACCCAGAAACTGTCTTTCCCCAGAAAGAATGGCTGTCATCAAAGACTCTACAGACATGCTGCCAAGATATGGGGAAACTCTATATATTGTTGGTGGGGATGTAAACATTGCTCAAAAAGCTAAGAGAAATTTCATTTGACCCAGCCATCCCCCTCCTAGGTATCTTCCCAACAGTTAAAATCAGCTTATTACAGGAAAGGTGCACAGCCCCTGTTTATAGCAGCACAATTTATAATAGATGGACCTTGGAAACAGTGTATACGTCCATCAACAGGTGAACAGACAAGGAACTGTGGTATTTATACACCACAGCTGCCAAAAAGAAAGATAAACTTGAAGTACGTAGATAAATAGATACAACTTGAGAACAAAACGTTAAGTGACATTCAAGATTATATATCATCTGGTCTTTTTATATTAGAATGTATACATGCAAATAAAGAGCAATAGACAATAAACAGGCTGTAGGGAGAAGTTCAGATAATTCCCCAAATTATCTGTTCTGTTTTTTTGGTAGAGGGGATTGAACTCATGACCTCACGCTATCCAGGCAGGTGCTTGTGCTGCTGAGCTAAATCTCTGGCCCAAATTACCATTCTGTTGTTTCAAAAATTTTTAACAATGTGTTAACATGTTTCATTGAGCAAGTTTCTCTTAGTTCATTGAAAAGAAAGTTTTGTGCTATTACCTGTTTGCTTCTTCTTTGTAAGAGAGTATCTTTTTTTGTCTAGTCTTGAACTCTGAGTAAGTACCTTGAGGATAACAATAACAGTGAATTAGCTACAGCTATTTTTGTTATTTTGTCATGAAAATTTGTTGTACCTTTTCATGAAATAGAAAAAGTAGATAAATTGGAAAAAATGTTTGCAACAATATGAGAAACAATGTGCCAATTTTCTTAATTACAAAGGATAACTGCAAATCAATCAACCACCTACAAAGAACCACGTAGAAAAAAAAAGACTTGTACCAGACACACAGAAAAAAAGAGACTCATATGGGAACAGACATGGAAATGAGGTCCCACTGCTCCGTGGA